GAACTCTGGGCCTGGGCGCTGTCCCTCAGCTCTTCAGCTCAAGGCTAGTGCTCTACCACTTGAGCCACAGTGCCACTTCTGGCTTTTTTCTTTTTTGCTTATGTGGTGCTGAGGAATTGAACCCAGGGCCTCACGCATGCAAGGCAAGTGCTCTACCACTGAGCCACCTTCCCAGCCCTAGATTTCTTCATTGTCCTTTTTTCTTTGTAATTAACTAGCAATTTGTGGGATGATACTTTGAGACTACCCTGTTCCTAACAACTTTTTGTTGAGTGAGGGTCTTACCCTGTAGCCGGGGCTAGTCTGAAATTTGCTTTCTCTCCCAAATACAAGATTAAGAGCATGCATCACCTGGCCTAACTCTCAACAATTTTTTGAGCAGTGGTTTTAGCATCTATTATTGGTCTTTGTTGTTGTTGTTAACTAGGGTATGAGTAGGGTTAAGTTAGGGTTAGGGTTAGCAAATGGGTTAGATATTAATGATGTCCTTTCTTGAGTCAGTTACTGCACTAATAGTTTTTGTTTTTGTGCTATTCCTGGGGCTTGAACTTGCTGTCTCTTAGTTTTTTTCACTCAAGGCTGACACTCTGGCACATGAACACATCTCTATTCCTTTTTTTTTTTTTTTGGTCAGTCTTGGGCTTGCACCTAGGGCCTGGGCACTGTCTCTGAGCTCTTTGTGCTCAAGGCTAGCGCTCTATCACTTTGAGCCACACCTCCACTTGTGGTTTTCAGGTTAATTGGCAACAAAGAGTCTCACAGACTTTCCTGTCCTGGCTGGCTTTGAACTGATTCTTAGATCTCAGCCTCTTGAGTAGCTAGGATTATAGTTGTGAGCTACAGATGCCCCAATTTGCTTTTTTTTTTTTTTAAAGAGTATCTTACTGAGCAGCCAAAACTGGCCTTAAACTTGTGATTCTCCAGTCACAGCCTCTCAAGTACTGAGATTACAGGCATGTACCCCATCATATCTGGCTCTCTTCTCTGAGATTCTTGCTGAGCATTTTGTCCCAGACTCTTCAATATCAAGATACAGCAGTCTTTTGGCTACTCCAGCAGGTATCTGACCACAACCTTTTGGCATAGAGTTTACATAGGGTGCCCTTATTTGCTTTGATTTGGAGAACATCTTGTAACTGATTGTGTAGGATCTCCACTAGGCATATTCACATGCTCAACAAATGAGCTGCTGAACAGAACAAAGAGAGAGAAAAGAGAAAAACTTCAGCTTCGACAAATTTGCCAGGATTGTACAATATTAAAAGTTCAGGAGGATGCTATTTTTATTAGCATATATTAGCTATTTAAGGGAGGATTTTTACTGTGACATTTGCACACATATATTCCAGTCAGTCCTCCCCCATTGCTCTCCTTTCACCTCCTCCCCCTTTCCTAATGCAGTGGCGGCAGGTTTATTGTTCAGTTTTCACACTTAGTGACGATCTGTTTTGACCATATTTATCTTCTTCACCATTGTTAGCCCCTCACCCCAATAGATCCTATTTCTCTTTGCCCTCCTTTCCAACCCACTATTGATCAACAACTTGCATTGAAGCTCTTTCTGCTGTTTTCTTTTTCGTTTTTGTGCTGGTCCATGGGGCTTAAACTCAGAGCCTCAACTCTGTCCCTGAGCTTCTATTGCTCCAGGCTAGTGCTTTACCACGTAAGCCACTGTTCTACTTCTAGCTTTTTCTGAGTAGTTTATTGGAGATAAGAGTCTCACAGACTTTCCTGCCTGAGCTGGCTTCGTACTGTGATCCCCAAGTCTCAGCCTCCTGAGTAGCTAGGATTACAGGCGAGAGATACCAGCACCTGGCTTCTGCTGTTTTCATTCATAGTTACTGTGTATTTCAAAGCCCCTCACCCTGTTTCTTTTTTTTTTTGGTCCGGTCGTGGGGCCTGAACTCTGGGCCTGGGCGCTGTGCCTCAGCTCGTCAGCTCAAGGCTAGCGCTCTACCACTTGAGCCACGGCGCCACTTCCGTCTTTTTTCTTATGTGATGCTGAGGAATTGAACCCAGGGCCTCAGGCATGCAAGGCAAGCACTCTACCACTGAGCCACCTTCCCAGCCCCCCCCCACCCTCTTTCTTTTTCCCTTTCCCCTCTCCCTTCTCCTCCTAAGTAGTCCCTTAGACTCTTGTTTTATATCTATCTGAATAAATTATTATGTATGTATACAAGTATGTATATGTATGTTCACTTTGATGCTATTTTAACTTCAGCATGGTTGAAAGTTTTGACATTTGCAGGCTGGTTTTATTTTTGTTATTCTAATTATATCATGTCCATAGCCTCTAAAGGTCTTAATCCTGTCTGGGGCCCCACGCTCTCTTTCCTTCTCAGCAATAGATTCTTGAAAGTAATGAACTCACTTTAAAGCCTTCAACTTGTTTCTCTTACAGACTAGTGATGATTACTTTGACATGAACCCTGACTGATATAGGTTTTGTCTGTAAGAGATTTATAAAGGAAGTCAAGCTGAGAAGTGAGGCTTAATCTTTTAGAGTGTGGGGGGGAATTATGGATCCCATTGAAAATCCAAAGAAAGTTAAACACCTCAGAGCATTCACAAAAACACATATCACAGAAGTTCTTTCTATTTCAAGGGGTCCATGGTTCTTTAGGAGCTGAATTAAGAGTCCTTAGCCTATAGCCCAAGTAAACTGACCATTCTTTTGTCCACCAGATGGGAGCTCAGAATGTCTGAGCTCTGCAGAGCAGATGGAGTCCGAGGACATGCTGAGCGCCTTGGGCTGGGGCAGAGAAGACAGGATGAGGCAGAGCTCCAGTGCTGCAAACAGTGCCTTCCCTACGCTGTCACCCATGGTTGTCATGAAGAATGTGCTGGTCAAGCAGGTGAGGAGGACCAGTGTGGCCCAAAGTCTCTGCAGACTAAAGTTTCTGAGTTTCTGTATACAAACTCTTCTGTGCTACCAAGGAGAGATTTCAAAGCAGACAAGAGAAACACACTGATGTGTACTTTCTGTCCTGGGGAAAGGGTGTTAACCATTCAACTACAGAGTAGTAAGAGGTCTGCCTACATGTGGCTCAGTGGTAGAGTACTTTCCTAGCATGTTCATGGGCCTGAGATCAGTCCCCATAACTACCACCACTACCACCACCACACCACCCAAAAAAATGGTGGTGGTATGGGTGACTAAACTCAGGGCCTAGTACTTTTCTGTGGAGCTAAACCCCCAAGCCTATATTCTCATTTTTGAGATACCATTTTATTTTTATATTTATATAAAGTTATCTTCATATAATTTGTTCAAGGGAGCCCTAAAATCTTTAATTATATATAAACAGAACCCAACCACAAACTTTATTTTGTGTGTGTCCATTGTGGCACTTGAACTCAGAGCCTGGGCACTGTCTCTGAACTTTTGTTCTCAAGGCTAGTGCTCTACCACTTTGAGCCATAACTCTACTTATGGACTTTCCAGCCCAGGCTGGCTTCAAACCACAGTCCTCAGGTATCAGACTCCAGAGTAGTTAGCATTACAGTCAGGAGCCACCAATGCCCAGCAAAAGAATTTCTTGCTTAATTTGAATTTGGATCAAAATGGTAGATATCTAGCCTTGAGCAAAAGAGTTCAGGGACAGCCTCCAGGCCCCAAGTTCAAGTCTCAAGACTGAGAAAAAAAAATCCAGGGGCTGGTAATGTGGCCTAGTGGTAGAGTGTTTGCTGCATGAGGCCCTGGGTTCCATTCCTCAGTACCACATAAACAGAAAAAGCCAGAAGTGGTGCTGTGGCTCAAGTGGTAGAGTGCTAACCTTGAACAAAAGAAGCTCAGGGACAGTGCCTAGGC